GTTGCACGAAGGCTGGGATACTGCCAGGTTGCCCAAGCCTAGACAGGGGAAGTCGACAGGCAGAGGTCGGGTTCGAACCACGGACCTTCCGGTCAGTAAATTCACGCTCTAAACACTTGGACCATCTCGCCCTCATGAACGTGGCACCAATATGTTGGTTGGTGTTGCCTCTCCGGAGTGGCAACATTGTCTGCTTATTAAAAAATCGTTCATCTTTACCACCCATTCGGTGCCTATTTGCCATGACACCGTAAGAAAATACGAGGGCTAAGATACTGCCACGTTTCTAAGCCCAGATAGGAGCAGTCGAGGTGTTAGGGTTGGGTTCGAACCACGGACCCTTCGACCAGTAAGTTCACAGCTTGACCACTGAACTAACTTGGGCTCCAGTTTCTCTCAAAAATTACTAAACCTATGGTCAAAATGCACCCATTGGCCTACCAATTTGTTTTTGACGGGTGACTCACCTGGAACCCAGATGAATCTCCCGTTTATAATGTTTTCACGCAACTGAATGTGCTGCACTAGGCTCACTGATGTTTCAACGGGTACGATAGTCGAGATATCGCGGTACATCTATAGACCTATAGTCGTTTTGATACCGTGCAGAATACCAAAGTAACTCTGTGGGCTTAGTCATTGACCTACAGTGCCTTTCCTGCATGCCACATTTCTGACGGTAGCAGGTTGATATTACCATTCGGAGTATCCTTTTCTAGCATACAACCAGGGCAGCGAAGATCAACGACTTCGTCTCCAGAATTATACTGGTATCTCCCGTGGTATAAAAACGACGACAGTTTTTGTTTTTTTGGAGAAATCAGCCGCACCCCACAAACTATGTTCTGTGGACTAATGCAAATGTTATATCCTTCTGCATTGGTACTTGAAGGAGTCGTTTTTTTTCCGCCGGCAGCTTGATGAACTGATATGGCCATATTCGGTGGTAGCTATTCGAAACAGGTGCTAGGTAGCCGGTCATCGGTGAACGAAGCTACGGCAGCTACAACCACTGTACAACGAGTACGCGGTTATCACAGCTGACAATGATGATGAGTTCATGAAACATATGGCTTCACCTTTTATTATCTTACCCGCATGTCTACTGTGTCTTTGGCTTCTTGGGTGAAAACGGGACAGATAAAATTCGGAAATTAACTTTCTGCCGTTTGCTTTCTTACGAACAGCTTGTTCTGGATGAAATCAACTCAGCCTTAAACGTCTCTCCGATGTGGGCTGCAAAATACTGGCCAGTATCCGCTATCTACGACCAGGATATGGTTGCAATCCTTCGAGTCTTAGTTGCTCTGGTTCGTCGTTTTGCTCCATCGGTGCGGCTTCCACGAGATGTCCACCTGACTGTCTTGATTGTGCGAAAAATCAATGGAATACTTCAACACCGCCGCCAGGTAGAGGTTATCACAGAAAGTGAAGATGAACAAGGTGAGTGGTTTTGTTTTTCCCAATCGTTTCGGCGACCGCTGCATGTTCGTTCATTTTTCTTGTATGCTCTGAATTTTCTCGCCCAACTGTAATGATGATCACATTCCTGCATTTGACTGCCCGAACATACGGAAGAGCCAACTGATTCGGTCCGCTGCCTTGGGAAGCGTTCCAGGAGAAATAACTGGTTTAGAAGATCGCTTGGAAAATGTGTAACCCTTTGCAATCGTTCAGTTCATAGGGACAGCTTTTGGCACCCCGCTGCCTTCCGAGCGCACCTAGTTGTAATTCCACCTTATGTTTTCGTTAAATATTCCCCTGGTTTACTCCCATATTGAGACAAGCGATGCACATATATGAGTGACTGCATATATAGTCTCATCCACGAGTTGTATCGCCATACTCGTTGACACGACAAGTACCATGTTTGATCGGCGTCTCCGCGAGACCTTGACCACATACCAGTTTAGCTTATCGTTCCGAATTACATTCGAGTAGGTATCAGCTATACCAATCTGTCCAACGTACTTGGAAGTTAAGTTGGTCGTCATCGTCGCTGTGGCTAGTCGTTTACAACGGACTGCGGTTCTGTGGGCAGTTATACAACCAGGACATCATATTTTCGACATGAAGACTACTCAGATCTCCAAACGAAATCTCTGGATCAAAAATCCGACCCAAAGGCAACGATTAGGTGCAGACACCTTGTCCCATTACCTTGGGTATGTGAGTAACAATTTCGTTGGCTCCTGGCAGTTCCATCTACCGAACATCATTACATGTGACGTTTGGTGGGTGCCATAGTGTCACCTACAGTATAACTCAAGGTGGTCACATTAACGCGTAAACCGATGCATCACGATAGCCGTTTGACGAAGTAGGTGACTAGGTTTTTATGTACTAACCGCCGGTTCATTCAACCTAAAACAAATTTTTCTCTTTTCTCTTTAATTTCTGAACCTAACTATTCGGAATTTCCAATGCTTGTAGAGAGTCCTCATCACTGTTAGTGGCAACATCACTGTTAGGGTACTGTGCCTTATTGCCGTACAATCATGGCAGTTTATTCAGAAAGAGCCCGGGTGTGTAAACAAGATCAAAATTGGATAGGGAGGGGGGCCTTACTGTCAATCCACTGTAAACGTATGAGATATCTACCTCTACAATACCATATACACACGCACGAATGGTTGGCATCCGAATTGGATTCGTCAGTCAGCGCTGATCTAGCCACTGAACGCCTGTTCTTAGTACGAAGGCCACACACGGTTTGCGTTGAGTCGAATATGGTGCTGTACGTATCACATGTGTGGAACCGAGAGAATACAGTCGGCGCGCGCATGTTCGCAGTCCTGCTGCATGCTACAAACCAGTCCGAACATGATGTCATAGCAATGAGTATCGGTACCAGTTGATTATTTGTCATGGATTCACATGTGTCTTCCGTGAATTTCTGTACGTTTCAGCATAATACCGCTTTTCCCTCGGTATCTTTTCGTGCAATTTTTACCCGGAACCGCCCCCTTAACGCTACGTCACAGTGGTAACAGACAATCTGTCAGTATTCCGTTACCTCATAGTTAATGTTGTCATCTTTAGGAGGACAACAGGTGCTCATTAGGAACTGGAACAAACTTGCGTTGGTCCCGGATGCTTGCACTTGGCATGTTGACCGGTGAGTTCGTCTGTAATCCACAAGATCGATCCTACTGAGACACGCGCGTCTGTACATTACACAATCCCACATGGTAGAGGCTGCATTGGAGAGATTGAGCCGATTGCCATTGCATCGCTTGTTTTGCAACGTGACCCGTCACGTCGCTTCTTAAAGTGTCTCACTTCGATTAGTTAGGAGTTCTGCAGACCTTCCTGTCGTCCATCCGGTCCTCCGATGATGTAACATGAGGGTTACAGCTCTCCAGATTTGCCTGAAGGCTGTTCCAGTAGCATAGTTTCCGGCACACCTGATCGGGAACTCCTTTCTGTAGTGGAATTTTGGGGTGTGAATTTCGGCCACTTGTTTCAAGTAACCTAACCAGCGGAGCTGACTTCAAATAAAACTGCATTCAGCTCGGATTTTCAAAGGGTTCGGTCCCTCTATTTGATGAAATCGGTCAAGAACCAGAACATTATGTTTTACGGTATCTGGATTTCGTTGTCCCGTACTAGTGTAGACAATACAACAGCCCAACGCACTGTATTCATGGTGTCTTTGCTGAGTACCCCGAACGACTCCCTCAAGACGACAAACCACCGTGATGGCTTTTGCAAGTTCGTGTGTTCATTTAATTATTAAGTATCGGGTCTGTAGATCATGTGCGACACGATGTACAGCACGGTACCTCATAAACATTTAGCTGATTATGTGGTCTTTTGACCCTCAGACCCAGACTGAAGAAAGATGAATTTCTGAAAATATATTAGCCAAAGTGAAAGGCCACTGAACCGAACGTGATATCAACTGTAAAAGTTCTGGTTCAGATTACAAATATAAAGTTCAGCCGTCCACGAACTACAAAGAACAAGAACACTACCCTGCTACATTCCTGTATCGCCTTGGAGTTGGATGACCAAATGATGCGAAAACTGAAATAGAGCCCAGCAACTGGATAGATATCGCTTTGTTTCCTTTACACATACTGGGACATGGTTAAAGCTGATTCCTTATCGATGACTGATTGGTTGTTGTTCACGTGTGACTGGAGGATGATGAGCACCAAGTAACTGGTTGACTTGTGCCACGGTGGAAGTCCGTACTCAAGAGAGTTCAGAGCTGAAGTCGTGGTAGTTTGCCGTTATCGGGCTATGAAATTACGTGGTCCTCCTAGGCTACATTCATTTTCTTCCAGTCTGTCAACTTTAATGTTCAAATCCCCGATCAATATCACGATGTTCGCACTACACCTTTGCACCATTATTTCTTCCAAATGGTGGGGCAGAGCTAATCTGCATCTGAAACATTTCCCTCCTTACCCGTCTCCTTAGAGTGCACGGAAGACAGTGCTGCGGTACGTTAACATTTCTTTTGGTATATTCGGTCGCTGACGTCAAACATCCAGCTTATGCATAAGGATTAACAAACAGTGTTTAACTAACACGGAGTGTTTGATCTCTGCGTGTCACGTAATCCATTTCAGGATAACCAAACAAGTTGCTTTGACGGTTGCTGTCCGCAGGGTGAGGCTGTTGCGGTATGTTCAGAAGGGCTTCATTTACTGTTAAAACTCCGAAGGTTTTTTAGGAGAGATCACTGACGGGATGCCAACTTGTCTTTTGCCTTCATCAACCGTCTACGTAAAACGTACATTCGTAAATGTGGATAATGAGAAGCACGTGAAAACACCCAAGAGGGTGAGGAGTGGACAGATATTAGTACCATGGCAGATAATTGAGTTGGTACTTTTTAGAGCACATAAAGTTGGTTGCCTTTTCTTAATCAGCGTAGCTCTATTACATACCTGTATTCGGAGTGATGACCTGTGCTTAGCAGGTGTCTTGTACTTGGTCATACTGAGACTCGGGCTGTGGACTGAGAACTGGATGACCGTAATTTCATCGCCCATCTCAGGTGTTTGAGTAAATGATGGAGACTGTGGTCTCTGCTGTCAGCGTGTCACTGCAACTGACAGTGGTTAGGGGAAGATCGGTCTCTTCAGGCTAGTGACAGGCTCCCCAAACTAAGGTGAAATAGATTATTCTTAACACAACATTAATTATAAAGCTTTCAATGAGTGCATTTCGCCGTTTGGGCTCTTCTTACTTATGCTGTGAAACCGTTCGATCCGATGTCGCCGTTAGTTTCTGTTTACTGCTTGCAGATACACCGTTCCCACAGTATGGTTTTCCCGGGACAACTTCCGCCCTGTCGGGCGTAGCCAACGGTTCCACCGTAGCATTTGCAGACAATGCATTGGGACAAAATTGTTCCGATTTACTATTCTCCATTGAGATTCCTATCAGGTGCTCCTCTCCGTTATTCAGTTCATCTGGTATACAAGTGTTTCTTGTCCATTGAAATGGCGTTTTGACTTAGCAGCGTTTATAAGCCATTATTCATGAGTAAACGGAAAAGGCAACAGTGTAATGCACTCACCTGGTAATTATTACCGCATATTCGTTACAAAGGCGATATGTTTGCACTTGTCAGTGGTGATGTCCACCCAACAGACCCTTGAGCACACAAAAGATTATCTGTTCTCCTTAATTTTGAAGGGTCTGTGAGAGCGCACAACTTAATGGCTACAGAAATCTGGCTCCGACAAACCGAAATACCCGCTTTTATGGTTGCAGTCCGTTGCAGTAAAATGTAATCTGGACAATGAAGACATGTCCCCACAGCTGTATACAACTGAAAATATTCTCGCATACCAGTTGTCCAGACCGATCCGTATTCAAAATACTGCAGTTTAAAATGCTAGGAACTAGACGACATTTCTTTGAGAAAACGCGCCACTATAAACGGACCCTTCGGTTGATGAACTTGTCACAATATCAAGAAATATACCAATACAACATGTGTCAGTTTAACTGTGATTGAGTTCCAGTTGCTACTATCAGGTCCCGTTTAAAAAACCAAATCTCAAGTTGTGCCATCAGCCTGCGTGTATACTCATCCGTATGTTCATGCCGCATGAAGACAAGACGTTTGACGGAATGGATTAGCGAACACCATCCGTTTTCTGTGTATGATGGTGGATAGAAATCTGATTCAAGTGCATTTACTCACTTGCGGCTGAAGCCGGTGTTTCTCAGACAATGAACATGCCTCTGAAGTCACAAGGACCGAGTCGATTGGGACTGACACGATTCAGATTGTTATCTGTTGCAACGGCAATCAAAATTCGGCCTTGTGCATCCAGGGTGAACTTATGTGACCTCTGACCTTGAATGGGCCTCCGAATGGTCCACTTTCACAAACGTGTCTAACATTAATGCAGTTCATTGACCTTTTTTACTCTTGTACCCTATCCCGTATCTATGACTTCGTTTGACCGTACGCGTAATTTATACATGTATAACACAAAACAGGTATTTTGGTACAATATTTGCTCTGTATGACGATCGTACCTGTATCGACTCTGCCTTGCGACCACCTGACTTTGCAGAGCACTCAGACGTTCATCTCTTTACAGCACACACCCTTTCTCCTCAATGTGGCTGAATTCTGCTGGCATTAGTGAGGTCGTAATAATGAGTAAGAACATTGGTGCTTCACGTTTTACAATCAAGCATCCTTCTTCAATGTGACCGGACCAAGTATCGACCATCCATTTTTACAGGTCTTTTTTAAATCCTATTGTAGACACTGCTGGCGATCATGATGCAATCAGTGCATTGGTCGATTGTGCGGTACCAGAGCGTCTGGCGGCGTTCCAACAAACACTACTGGATTTTGTAAACCACCACTTGGCAAAAATCAACCTCAGCGTAACCAGCTTGGAAACTGAGGTAATCTGTCACTCTTTGCACTGAATTTTCACACTGACGTTTGTATTGCCATTTGAACCACTGAGACTCAAACAAACTTCCACTTTAGATATCCATGTACACTCACTCTGGGCTCCTTCAGATACCCGTCGGATGCCGGGGTAGTATGCTGAACACTCCGTCAGCCAGATGCTATCAGAAACTAATCGAGACCTCTGTGATGGGAGTGCTAGGATTGATTGCACAATGTCGATGCCCAACTTTTGCAAAACGCTTGGATGACCAAATGGTTGTCAACCATTTACTTGCCAGTTTCGTCTTTTCCACACACTAGCTCGGATGCCATTTTCATTTGCTGCAAAGTTGTCCTGTTTCGCATGAAGCTAGCTCAGTTTGTCTCTCGCTTAACATCATTGCGACCAGTATTGGAAGGTGCTCGTCACATACCTCTTATTCTTTAGTAAAAAACCCAGAAACCCCAAATAAAGGTGGACGGAGTGTAAGAACTCCCGTACCCACCGCACCATTTTATTACGTGGTGAAAACATCAGTTGCTGACTCATGAAGTGGACAGTTTGCCCATCCACTTCAGGTATGCACTCGTCAAGAGCTCAATACTGTGCTTCAAGCATGAGGACTGCTTGCAAGTTCAGAAATATGAAATGACAGCAGTATGCTGTCTTAACTAGACTGACGACTGGGACGTTCGTAACGTACTTCAGGTAGTATCGGTAGAATTTCAGGGCCGAATTCGGCTCGGATAGTATGCACTCGTCAAGAGCTCAATACTGTGCTTCAAGCATGAGGACTGCTTGCAAGTTCAGAAATATGAAATGACAGCAGTGTGCTGTCTTAACTAGACTGACGGCTGGGACGTTCGTAACGTACTTCAGGTAGTATCGGTAGAATTTAAGGGCCGAATTATTTTGTTATTATATTGTTAGAAGTCGTTCCCTCTAACCAGGGTGTTTTTCGGCAGTGAGGACTAGCTAGGTATTGACTCCTGAAGCCACTTAGAAAGTGGCAAGTCCTACTCTGTTTGCTTCAAAATAATCACTCAAGGGAAGTTTCACGGGCAGAACTTCAGGGAACACAGTGCTTGAAGGGAAGATTTTCCAGTCAGTAATAAGTGCCCGTTGAGGCTCGAATAACGCTTTTTGGGGTCCAACCGTCCCAGTCGGTCTTTAGGCTATGGTTATTGTCGTAATAGACGAAAGTCCTGCTTCCTTCCGCACGCTTTTTCTCAATAAATCATTTCGTAGGACTGTCGGATGTGTTAGAGAAGTATATCCGCTTTCTTTGGACGAATACAGTGATGTGAATTATGTGGTGTAATCCTTGATCAAAATGAACCCTGGTTCTCGAAGCATTGATTTGCGCTTTTTCGCTCCTTCGAAAAACGAACTGCATCTTTGTGTGAGCGCTTTTACAGTCGGAGCTAATGCTTTCGCGTTTCGATTGATGTAGAATTTTGAGTTGATCGCCAGTACTGCGCAGGGCTCGTTCAAGGTGTATGCAGACACAAACACGTTTTCGCCGGAAAACACACTGCACCTTGTCACCCGACTAACTTTGACAAGTTGCCAGTCGTTCGCACCTTAAAATAGTTCACTTGTGACACTTTCGGTGTCTACCCGGTATGCCACCCGAAGGAAGCATGAGAACTAAGATGCCGCCAGGTAGCCCAATCCTAGGAAAGTTCAGACGTTGAGGTCGGGTTCGAACCACGGACATTCTGTACAAATGTGTTATTTTGACACCATCTCTCACACACTTTTATGTTTCACTCAGAATTGTGTGGGAACCTGAACTTATGTGGTCCTAGAATAACGTACGTTTCGCCCGTGACGTATATGGCCTGTTCCGACAGATCGGACCCGCTTTGTGCAATTTATACCGGAAGTACACTGCAATCGATCTCTACTACTACGTTAACCCATCCCGTTCAGTGCTATTGTTTTTGACTGCATGTTTCGCTGTTCACTTTTTCGCCTCATTAGATGAATGATGGTGTCTACTTCATCCTGCTAATCGGATTGTTGGGTGGATTCTTTGTCCCCCTTCACGCCTACCATCTTACTCCGCTGACCAATGCCCAACGGCAGGCAAACCTGCAGCTCGCGTTCAAACTAGCCGAAGAAGTGGATGGCATCAACCTTGGTCCGAAACAAGCGGACGACTTACTTCATCATGATCTCAAAGTCACTCTTCGCTTGCTTTATTCTTTGTACGACGCTCACAAGAATGATTTGTAGGACATGGACCCCGGGGAACGGATTATGTCTAGTTCAGTGCCTTGTTTTTTTGTTCACACAGTCAATCCCTTCTCATTGACCAGTATGCTTTTTGTCTTTGTTTTATCTGACATTTGTTCGCATTGATCGCCTTGCGCTTATTTGTTGAGCCATGCATTTATCTGTGCATTTCATGCCTTTTGCTGACTTCCCTCGTTGTTTGACTTTTTGCATTACTTGTCACTTGTTGCTCCTTTTTCGTTGTTAATTTACTACCTGCCTAAAATATATTTGCCTTGCTAGAAATACTAGCGTTATTTTCACACTTCTACTCGGTTTGACTTGACCACCTTAGTGAGTTCGGTTAGTTGTGTCTATCACGTATACTGAGGTCTATCTTTTTACTTCTGAGCTGTTTTGCTAAGTCTTCTCTCGTATAGATACCGCAATCCTCGAGCTTGCTGTCTGGAGTGTGTGCAAGCTGGCTCACTACCATCAAGTTGGTTGTAGTTCTAGGCGGTTAGCTAGAAACGGGTTTTTTTTGGAGCAGTTTTAGCAACCAACTTACATGATAGCATTGACGGTTCACGGTTGCGCCATCTATTTAACAACGTTTTTCAGTGAAAGTTGATCGATATAGATAATGTTGGTTGGATCGTTGTTGGATCGTTCGTTTGGCGCCATATTTTGCTGCATCTCTGAACACGATGAGCTCATTTCCGGGGGCCATCACCAACCAGATTCTGTGTTCCCTTCCATGGTTGCTTTGCCCACTATTTCGCATTTCGGTTGACTGCACATTACGATTGCGGACCACGTGGCGCGATGCAACAACTTTCGTTATCAACAGTCTACGCAGAACGATAAACTTAAGCGTACTGTATATTGGGTGCTTAGTGGACGAAATTCAGGTCAGTGGTTCTCAATTTCACTTATGCTTTCGACAAATACATTTATTTGCATAGCAATTTCGTTTTGATGGTTGACCCACCCGAAACTGAGCTGATTCTCTTGTTGATATCCAAGAGTTTTCAACAACCTTATAAGTAGTGTATTAGGTCTTTAATTAGATTTGTTTTCCATTCTCTCCAACGACTACCCAAAATTGGAATATGGTCAATAGACGGTAGACAGCCTCGTTGTACGTTGCTGTGCTAGTGTTGCTTTTAACCGTTTCCCGTCACCTTCCGTGTAAGCAATCATAAGGCCTGGTTAGATTGATAGTTTTGCACACGAAACATGCTGATGCACCGAAAGTCAGTGTGCATTTGTGCACATCTGCTCTTACGCACTTAGGAGAGAGGCTTCTGTGCCAACTTCTGTCAGTTTGCGCCATACTGGACGAATGGTTCCGCTAGTCATACGCGCACTTGATATTGCGCGGGCGCCTGTGATCTGTTTGAAAAGAAAAGCAGGGGATAATATGCGCCGGTTACACACAAACCCGCCAAATACCATGTCATTTATCATTCGACAGTAATGAAGCAATTCATGTAGGTTTTTCGTAGTCTTATGATAATAATTCACAACTGCATCAGGTTGGTTTTTGGACATTAAAAGACTGGTTGCATGGAAAGTTCTCATGTTTTGTCCTCACACCATCCCAATGGAAACTGGTCGCATTTAATTCGAAAGTTCTGCTCTTGGTCCCTGGCACCGCTTCTCTCTTCAGCACTCAATGGCACCCATATGGTTTGCTGGCTTTCACTCTTTGATTTCTTATGGCATTTAAGTCAGAAGATACAGAGAACAATTGATTTAAGTGCTCATCTATTCGCACTTCCCTCCCAGCGTCATTGACACCCAGCATGGTTGCGTCTTAGCCTATCAGCCATATGGTTTGCTGGCTTTCACTCTTTGAATTCTTATGGCATTTCAGTCAGAAGATACACAGAACAATTGATTTAAGTGCTCATCTATACGCACTTCCCTCCCAGCGTCATTGATATCCAGCATGGTTGCGTCTTAGCCTATCACTGTCATTGTGAAAAATCGTTTTTCAAGACAAATAAAAAAGAGACTAGCGCCAACGAACGTTCCGACAAACTCACCTGTAACGTCAATTTGAGGACATAAGTTTGGAAATTAAATAACAAAACTTGGTGTTTTTGGTCACCTTTCTATGTTAGCCAATAATAAAAGGAATGCTTCCGCGAAGTTAGACGCCTAGTTGTAAACAAAATAGTGATTTCCCGGACGGTTCCATTCCGTCATTAACCACATCAACTGGTAGTCTTAGTGGCAGTTTGTTTGCCTGAACAACTGTATTTCAATTTTACGTTGCATGTGGTTCTCACGAAAGATTTGTCGCATCAAACGAACGTGACGTCTTCCAGTCATAATGAATACGGCTGTACGGTGACCTTTCATCTTAACCCGTGTCCCCCGGATTCCAATCCTTAACGAGTGACAACGTAACGAACGAAAATCCAATCAACGGGCGTGATGCGTTGCTTGCTGGAGAGATCGTTGCCATCTGTCAATAGGTGCGCGCTTTTCAGCTACCCTAATCTCCTACATCTCTGTTGTTGGAAGTTAAAGCGACTGGTCATGTTTCCGCTTCACTCACCGACCATATGGTCCGGGTTGCAACTATTGGTTCTCTGCATTTAACAAAGAGCCCTCCTTATCCGACATGCTACCCTCTTTCTTTACTCATCGCGACTTTAGCTTATATTTAATTCAATGTTGTTTACACAGGCATTATAATTTATACCAACCCAACTGCTTACTCACTTCATTATTTCCTTGTTTTCAGTCAGTATTGGCTCTTTAATCCCTCTGGGTGACTTCGTAGACCTTTTCTGGTAACTTCCAGGTACCAGCCGCGACTTCTTTCGAGTTATAGTGCTTCCAGAACCAACATTGACTTTGTGTGTTTGGCGCCATGGGTGCTTGTGCAAGTTTGGGGCTGGAAGACCATGACCAAGCGTTGGTAGGTGAATGGCAGCAGGATTCACATAAATTGCTTCTGTGTGTCTGCGTACCTGGTGGTTGAAAAACAGTGGCATTTGGACAGTAAACAAAAAATGGAACTTTGATGTGAATTCCTGCCTAATGCTTAGCATTCAAGTTCTTTTTATGCCGGGTCGAAATAGTAAGAGTGTGTCTGTTGGTGTGACCACCTAGAACGTAGTTATTGGGTGTCATTTCTGATATGAACCTAACAAACAAATCGTTCAAGATTATATACAGGATAGTGGCTACATCCAGCTTGTATGTAAATCGATGAATTACTCCCAGTAAACCAAACAAAATGTTTTTTAAAACGACAAACAGAATCATCTGTTTGTTTCGTTGTCACCGGCTGTTTCAAGTCTATAGGTATGTGGGCTGTGATATGGGACCCAGTTTAACCCTTCAAACAGTGGACCGTTGATTTATTCGATGAATTGGGCGATTTGATTGCAAACGTTGCACCACCAATTTGGGTGACACCATCAGTGCGTTGTTGGGTCGGTAGTTGGATTCAGAACGTATATGCCTCTGGGGAATCCGCGTTCGCTCACATGAGGGTTGCATGTTTCAGTCGTTTTAGTTTAGCTATCAATCCTAATAGGATAAACGACCTCCGTGGAATTTTTCTGCAATGTATCTTCGTGACATTTCGGCACCGGTTCGCCGTGTCGGGTTTTAGCCATTGTTGCTGGTACAGCTGCTTGGAACCATAGGTTGGATGTCAGATAGACAAAACAGCTGATGACCTGCTTGCCATATATTGAGTAGCATCTTCGGTGGAGCTGTTCAGTCGTCTCAATAACTTCCTAAATTTTTAACTGAAGTTTGATTGTGTTGTGTGCTTAACACTGTCAACCTCCGGTAATAGTATCATCACAGGACTAACACGTAAATTGAATTGTTTTCCCATCACAGCATAGTTTGCTGAAGGTTTAGGTAACTCGGCGTACTCATCATCATCGACAGCACGACATCACTGTTTAAAACCAATGCTTTGCTCCCCTATAACTCTGGTTTATTTGAAAGCCTTATTATGAAGAAAAGGATGACAGTGGACAAGGAAGTTATTTAATGCAAGCTTACTGCAATAATTCCGAGATACCTACACCTCCAGACATTCTTTCAAGCAATCTGGATAGAAACTGACAACAAGAGCGCCAGTGACATCGGTTGGCAGCCGTATTTCGCAGCGTCTCTCCAACCAGGCACAGTGAGGATCACGTGGTCCCCATCCTGGAAGGCGAGTAGCACCGACAGCACCCAAGCGTTTCGTGATCTCCTTCATACTCCTCTGCCAAGTCAAGAGTTGGCCACCTCTCTGTTTACGCCACTCCGAATTGGGCATGGAAAACAGCACTCTTCGGCAAACGATGTTCCGGCATAAGTAACACATGTCCCAACCAACGCAGCTTCTGGTGGTGGACACATTCTTCAATCGAAGTACCCGTCACACAACCGAAAGCGCGCTTTCTAATTGCCTCATTACGGATTCGCCGACGCCAACCCAGACGAGCTAAGGTCCTGAGACAACGATTGTCGAACACCTGAGAAGTCTCGGTTCCGCTGCTCAAAGAGGCCAAGTCTCATAGTCATACAACAAAATAGCCTGCACTATGGCTTGACACCATAGATGTCTCATATTAGCAAACGCAACCGGGGCTTTGGAGATTCGTTCATTGACCTCATTTGCCACACTACAATCAGAACTAATACAACTTCCAGGATAAGTAAAATGCTACACAACTTCCAGTGCCTCTCCCTGGATTAAAAGTGGCGCACTATTCACTCAAAAATCCGCCGTGTCAATTTATTTGACAAAAGCCTTGTAATAGAAAGAACGATAAACTGGGTGAGGATTTGGGCCTACGGCCATCCTATCTCGATTATTCGAGATGCACCAGCCTGCAACGCTCAGACAATCTGGATAAAAACTGTGATAGCATGGACACCACTGACATCGGTCTGCAATCAACTGAGTCAGTTTTCCCACCCGAGCCCATAAATAATCACGTTGAACCCATCTTGAAAGACGAACAGCACCCTAACTTTGTTCATTTGTCCACCTTGACACTCATGCCAGAAATTATTTCCTGCCATATCCCTTTTCACCGTCACTGTGTGACATGCTCACACAAATTCTTTTTTCCCATTTCCTCATTGCACTTAACCGTTATCGTTGCCTTAATAAAGTTTTTCACTCCGTTCTGGAATGTGCGATAAAAGTTTTCGGAGAATAACTTACCAGGCGTGAATATTGCTCAAGAATATGTTTGCAGTCCATGTTTCGATTGAATGCATTGGACGTGATTACTAGGCCCTTCATTTTTCATGATCGTAAGACAGCAATGAACCGAACTTACTTTCCAAGGAATTGTTTCGAACTGATGAGGATCATGTGGAATCGGCAGGCCTATTTTCACCCTAACCAATTTGTGATGATGTTTTGAGTATGCCTTTATGTAACTCTGTATTAGAGAAATCATGCTCTTGTCTTTGGTTAACTGTCTGTTCAATTTTCAATTTACCGGGTACTCCAGGGGCTTGTACATCAGATCGCGGCGTCGGCTTAGTCCGAGTGCTCCATATTTACCGTTCGAGTAAACCCCGAGCACAACGTGTCGGAAGGGATGGCCTTGAAATTCAGAGCAAAACGAGATGGTGAACCGCTTGAATTCCTCTTGACCTTGAGTTAGAAAACTAAAATATTAGAAACATCGCCACACGTGAAAATAGCTCACATAGCCAGAATTGTTGCTTCCAAGCATTTGATCGGCAAAGCTGCATCGATGATGAGTTTCGCTAGATCTCTTAATCTGACGTGAACAAAAAGTTGAAATTAACAAATGGCCTACTCACCGATTCAAAGAAGCCTTTCGGTTGACTGGAAAGAACTGTACACCCGTATAGTTGTATCTAATGTATCTGATGAAAGGATAGCGAAATTCAAACTGTGATGGCTATCTAGATTCTTGGGAAACTCACCTCTTACTTGAGATTTTTTGCTAGAAGACTGGGCGGCATATTCAGGCCCTAAGTGGTGTCCCTCCCTGAATAAACTCAATCTCGTGGTATGGGGAAGTTAGTCGAGTCAGGAGATGTTTTCCACTAAATGCGGTGTCCTATTTTACTGTTTATCCGCGGATGCTTCCTATGTTCCCAGCGATTTGGCTTCCTTATGGTGCTTGATAAAACCCGTCGCAACATTTCCGGTATATGATAGATAAAATTTGCGAAAAGATTAGCGAACAGATTATTTTGTAGAAACAAACGCCTATGGGGATACCTCAGTGATGCACTTGGTCTTCCTGAGGTCAACAGGTGGGTTACAAACCTGAACCGCTGCAAAAATAACGATGAATGTTTCAGCGAGTCTGAGTTTTCTTTTCTGTGGTGGCCTCTAACTGCTGGAGACAATGCCCATCCGAGAAGCTGAGCGTTATTTAAGTAGTTATCTAAGTAGCTTCAATAACCCTTAGATTTGAAGGCAGCTTTTGTTTTCTAATTGAGTGACAGTAGTAAACCTCACTGAAATTCCTTTGAAATTTCTCTTTTTTTTGTAGTTATGCGCAAGACTGTTGAGCCCTGGAAACGAGGCGTGATGTGAGGAGGCGAATGATTGTGTGGGAGTTTCCCGGGTAACTCAGAAATAGCAAAAACTGTTGAAGAAACCGAAAGATAGTCTAGCATCAGAACTATAATGAGTTGGAATTCGGTATAAGATAGGAATGAAGGTATGTGCTAATTACATTTTTATGTGTCACGGTGAAGAAGAAACAAAAATAGCAGACAAGCTTATGACTACAAATTTTCCGCATGTTGTCGCGACATACTTGTCAATACGACTCACATCGGTCATTGCTGTTTGCACGAGCGTTCGAGTGCGTGCAATCTGGACATGAGAAGCGTGTTATCGTGTGTGAACAAGAAGCATGACTTGCGACTGAAGACAGTGGTAGCTACGAGTTTTCTCATTGTTTCCTCAGATATCGCTGCTTTAGCATTGGCAAGCGATGGCATGGTTTTCGCACAAGCAAATGTTCAAGCTGGTAAATATCTCCCACTATCCACCCTTTCAGTTCTAGTCTGTTGCTTCAGCTTAGCACGGTCTTCATGTCTCCCTTTCCTGCTTTATCGATCTGCGAATTTCCCTTCCAAACGCTTCCGTAGCCATCGAGCATGACATTTTTCCATTCTCATGTTTGCAGTAACTCCATCTGTAATCTTGCCAATATGAAGTTAAAACGTTGTTATATCATTAACCATTCACCTTCATCACCCCTGTCTAGTCATGGGCAACTTGGCAGTATCCCAACCCCCGGGCTTTCTTTGGGTGGAATGGCAGCAAGACATAGAAAGAGGGTTACAGGTGAACGATTCTCGCTTACCAG